AGAGAGAGAGAGAGAGAGAGAGAGAGAGAGAGAGAGAGAGAGAGAGAGAGCATATAAATGTATATGCATGAGTGTTAGTGCATGTATTTGTATTTATGAGTATGGATAAATGTAGGTGTATGTATGTGTGATTGTGTTTGCATATATGTATTATTATGTGGATATATGTATGTGTCACAACTATAGGAGGGCCCTAGGAAGGGTAGGGTTCCTATACAGGAGGTATCTTCAGTCTATAAGTGTGGCTCACTAGAAGTATGGTACTTCATTGTCTACAAGGGTAGAGAGACCGAGATATTGCTCCTGGGACAGAGGACAGGAAGATAAGGCTACCCCGCTCCGATGGGTGGTGCTAGGCAGACTAGTTATCCTGGTGGCAACTCCTCTGCCACTTTTAAAGAAAGAGCCCCCAGAGAAAGAAAGCGAAGAATGCCCCTTTCTCGCTCACTCAACTATTACTCACGCACAGCAACAAAGACAGACGAGAATAGTAGTGAATGAAGAATGATGTCGCTTTAATTTTACTGACAGCTGACTGGCTAAAAATTGACAGTGGTTTGGTGTTTGATTTTAAACCAAATGGTTATCATCATAAGAGAAATGTCTACTGGGTCCAGTTCCTTCCCCGCACGAGTACAGCTCACCCGTGGATACTCCCAAAGGCTGGACTTGATGGGGAAACCGGAACACTTGGCTTCTTGTAGATCTTATTTCTTGTGATATCCTCTTGTAGATAATCCACCGCTGATGTTCTTAAAGTTCAGATACGACACGTGGTCGTTTAGAAAATTCGACACGTGGTCGGTTACAATTACGACTAGTAGTCGGTTATGAATACTGGGATTAAATCCCTTAAACTGTCTCTTTGTCTGTGCCGATTCTATGGCGACATGACAATGGGTACAATTGTGTACTAATCGTTGAGTCCTTGGTGTTATGAAAAATGCCGCAGGGCCCCTGAGATCGGTCAGAAATCACTACCGTAATCCAGAACAAATTAATATAGAACTACACTCGCTAATCTGAATACTGAACTTGAAAAACTACCGATCATCACTCGACCACGTTTGGAACTCCAAAGACCGGAAGATGGCGGCTTCCGCTCAAAAATGGACGACCTACGTGACGCCAGTCATGCGCATGCGCCAAAAAGATGAAGCGCCATCTGGTACGTTCTATTTGATTTGTCGGACCGAGCACTGTGATTGGTTGCCAAACTATTAATCCATGAGTTGAATGTAACTAGCCCTATCCGGTTTTTAGCGGAAAGTATTAGGG